AGTGCAATTAATAAATCAACAAGAATTACTGATAACAGTGGGACTTGTTTGGATCACTTTTTTATTAAATGTAAGAGTAATGTTTTTGAAAAGGTTAGGGCTGTGATTTTGAAGAGCGACCTTACAGATCATCACCCCAATCTCCTCAATATTCAGCTAGATAGATTAGGTGAGGGCATTACAAATGAAATTAATACTTTTACAAAAATAGATTATGAAAATATCACACAAAAACTAAACGGAGAGTTGTGGGGTGATGTTCTACAAGAAAATAATGTAGAGCTTTGCACAGAGGCTTTCATTAATAGACTAAAAGACATCATTTTGAAAGCCACTATAACTACGCCTATACCCAATAAAAAAAAAGAAATTAAAACCTTGGATCACTGGTGGGCTCCTAATATCTATTCGAAACAGAAACCTCCTTAAAAGGGAATGTGCACTAAATCCCAGCAATTTCGTAGTTTTAAACAGGTATCAGGAATACAGGAAATTTTTAAGTAAACTTATCAAGAAAGTGAAGTATAATTATTACAAATATTTAACACAAAAAAATTTGGATAACCCCAGAAAATTGTGGAATGTGCTTAGAGAGGCCACCAATGACCAAGAGAGTAAACCAGAAATAAAATGTATCACTACCAAAACTAATTCAGAAATAACTGATAAAAAAGAAGTTGCAGATGAATTTAACAATTATTTTTGTAACATTGGTAAAAAATTAGCAAGTGAAATTACTAGAGGTACTTGGTGGAATGAAGTGCGGGAAAAAAGAGGTAATGAATCACTTTTCTTGTGTCCTGTGACGAATGATGATGTAATTAGGGAGATAAACTGTTTAAAGAATGGGGTAAAAGGCGGGGAGGATAATATTTCATCAAATATAATCAAGAAATATAAAGAAAAACTTAGTATTCCATTGAAACACATAATAAACCTAGTTTTTGGTACTGGTATTTTTCCACAAATATTAAAAAAAACCAAAGTGATACCTCTTCACAAACAAGGAGATAAAAAAGACATGAACAACTATAGACCCATTGCATTAACTAGTACAGTAAGTAAAATTATTGAGAAATGTCTGAAAAGAAAATTAATGCAGTTTTTGGAAAAGCATAAATTACTCAACTTAAATCAGTTTGGTTTCAGAGAGAATTCTAACACTGAAGTTGCACTTGTCAGGGTCACTGAGAGTATTCTGAAAGGGCTAGACCAAGGAAAAAAGGTGATGGGTATATTTTTAGATCTAAAAAAGGCATTCGACACAGTGGCACATCCAATTTTACTAGGTCGTTTGGATAATCTGGGAATAAGGGGCATTCCAAATAAACCCATAAAGTCCTATCTTTCTGGACGTGAACAAATCACAAATGTCTCGGGTCAGGAAAGTAATATTTTGAAGGTAGAATGCGGGGTGCCACAAGGTACGGTTCTCTCAACTTTGCTGTTTATAATATACATAAATGATATAATGGAACAATTAAATGATGCAAACATAACTATCTATTGCTTTGCAGATGATACGAGTATTTTAGTAAGTGGTGAAGATTTTGATTCCGTCAAATTAAAAGCTGAAAGAGCATTGCACACAATTAAAAATTGGCTAGATTTTAGTTTGCTCTCTCTAAATATTGAGAAAACCAATTTTATGACTTTTCCCCTTTCCTCGCGTACTTTGCCTAATCTAAACTGCATTAAGATTCATGACTCATATTGTGACTTTGCACCTCAGTGTGCATGTAGCAAATATATAAATAAGAAATCGAGCTTGAAATATCTAGGAATAATTACGTGTTACGTGTTACAACAAAGATTAGAAAACTTATTCACAAATTTTATGAATTAAGGGAAATATTAGACTTCAGAACTCTTAAAACAGTTTATTTTGCTTTAACAGAATCTGTAATTAATTATGGTTTCGTAGTTTGGGGAAATACAAGTTTAGCAACGTTATCCAAGTTACAGGTAGCTCAGAAATGGATTATAAAAATTATGCTTTTCAAACAGAAACGATATTCATCTGAACTTGTTTTTAGAGACAGTAAAATACTGAACCTAGAGCAGCTCTATTTAAAATCACTTATAAGATTTATGATGAAATATGATTTCTACAAAGAATACTTACAGCATGGCCAAAATACAAGAAGTGCTGCTCATGCAAAAGTAAAATTGCAAAACCCTAGACACACAGCTTGCCAGAGTCACGTTTACTGTATAGGTCCAAAAGTTTATAATGATGTGCCAAATAGTATTAAGAGATTGAGATATTCTACTGTTAAAAAGGAATTAACAAGATGGATTATTGATAGTCAATACGCCATTAATTATGTAATATAAAAACCTGTAGCATTAAAGGTATTAGGTTCCTAAAATTTAAGATAAAACATAATAGCTTTGAATTTGTTTGATCTATTTTTATATTTCTTTTTCTCTTTGTAAACTAGAATTAAGAACCTCAATGAAAAAGTTACACTTAACAATGTGAATGGGGTGCACACACAGTATTTTGAATACAATTGTGCATCTAAAACTATTAGCAATAGTGGGTAATCTGAAGAATAGATAGCTGGATTTAAATATTATACAATAATTGTAAAGTCTATATATTTAATATGATGTAAAAAACTGTATACATGTTGAATCTGATGCTAATAAATTTACTTACTTACTTTTGACTTTCACTAGGTACTCTATCATTTTGAACTTGACAGCTCGGACGCCGCAAATTTATATTATTTGTTTAACAGCCTTTATCGATGAAGAAATATTTGTTTCCTTAATTAGTAGTGCACAGTCCATTAGAGCTTTTATCCAGTTTTCAGTTTGTTCAGTGAGTTTTTTGAGAAGTATTTGTTCAAATATAATTAACAAGTGTGGAGGTTAGTTCACCGCAACAACCGTTACCACCGAGAGTACAAGGCCTGACAACCGACGCGTGACGTCACCACGAGTAGGCCGCTCGGCCGGCCGACAGCACGGCGTGCCGTACATCAGCGCTAGTGAATAATATATTATTGCAGCATATTTAATAAACTCTACCTGATGTAAATAACAGATAATTCAGAAAAGTGTTTTTGGTATATGAGGGCAACTTGGTGGAAAATATTAAAGTAGTTATTAATTATTTTCACCCTGATTTTCACTGATATTTCATCCAACATTACGTGCACATTAGATTAATAAGTTGATGTTATAAAAGCTTGCTAAAAATGATAAATTCTTCAATGAATAACCCCATGTTAGTCACAACCGATCAACAGGATTTCATAGGAATATGTGGACAATTTACTATTATTATAGGTATAATATAAAGGTACTTATATAAAAAATGTAGTGCTTGTGGAACAGTTGTGTCCAGCAAGAACCAACGAGGAGGTCTTGCCAGGAAAGAAATAAGGAAGATGAGGAGGAAAAAGTGTAGGATAAATAATAAGAAAAACAGTTAAAATCAAAGTAAAATAAACAACAGAAAAAACATAACAAAGATTAACGAAAACTTAATAAAAACTCTTAGAACAAACAAATAACAGCACAAAATAATAACAAAAATTAGAAAGCAGAAAACAAGTATCAAAAATAACAAAAATTAGAATAACGAAAATCAAAGTGCTAAATTCTGAATATGTACAAATAAACATTTATCTATAGCTATGTAAATGTTGCGGCCTCATGTGAATGTAGTCAATTTACGTTTCTTTGCTTTATTCGCACTTGCAAAGCTGTCGTTCCTTTTGGCACAATAATTTTTCAAAAATGTATTGACTGTGCAAATAACAATTAGTTTTATAACATAATCTGGTGAATGGACTGTGCAATGCGAAAATGAAGTGTCGTGATTATTATCACTCAGATTGTTAATTATCAGCTGAGAAAGCGCGCGTCCTTTATCAGTGATTTCTAAAAATGATTCCTCGTCACGTTCCAAAACTTTATTGAAAATTATATAACTTGGCAATATTAATAACTGGAACCAGCTAAGTAGGTGATGACAGGGATTTCATCCTTTATATATACTATCAATATCAGACTGTAAAATTTCAATTTCCCGGAAAAAGTGGTAATCATTAAAATTGTGTGGAATTTCAACTATTTCTAAATCATCATTTTCAGAGAATTTATATGCCATATGCCATCGCTTTACTATTCAGTGCATTATTATCACTTACAACACAAAAAATTTTATAACCAAGTTCTTCTAATCCAATAATAAGTTTTTTTGTCATATTGTATAATAGATTATGATCAATTTTAGAAACAGGACAGATTTGAACAACTTCTTTGAAATTGGAGTAGAAGCTTGAAGTCATAAACACATAGGCTGTTGTAGCTAATGAAATATTATTAATTGACGTTCCAACAATATTACCCCCTTTGAAATCTAAATATGCATTGCATAGCCTAAAAAGTTATATTTCTCATCGAGAACTGGATCGACCATCAATGGATTACATATTGACTTCAGAGTATTTTGGTGTGGTAAAATAAGTGCTCCATGGCTCCTAATAAATCTATATGAATGTGGACTGATTATATACAACATAGAGCAAAACACTATTGTTTCTGATGAGTAACTGTGTCTGTTCTTCTGACTAATAGCAAGCTTTAGTTGCTCACAAATAAATTGAGTGACAGTGTGGGTCTCTTCATAGGTGAATAGTTATGTGCTATTTAAAATCTTGTAAGCATGGTTTATAGTGGCTCTGAACTGGTCTTTACCTGAATATTCCCATCCAAGTGGTGTATATTAGATAATAAAAATGTTTTAATATTACCTGAGTTGAGTAACAATTCTTGGGAGTACATATACGTTTTTACATTGAGATCTTTATCAACGGAGTGAGTTATAATCGGTGCTGGTTTATATTCTAACTTAAACAAAGTAACTTTATCCGGAACAATTTTATGCCACCCATATGGACATTGCCATGAACTGAAAACTGTGAGCAAGTGTGAATAATTTTAAAAACAAGTTGATTTTTCATAGGAGGAATAATCATCAATGCTAGTTTGCAGTGCTTTAAGTAGTTGTTCTTGTTCCTTGTCACTCAATTTCTCATCTCGGCTTTTTCTGCTTGACCTGTCTTTTCGTCATGGAAGGTGGATTCCCAAATGATGCTGTCCTCAGCAAAGTGCAAATTACATACTCGGGTAACCACTAAATCACTACGAGGGATTGTATTGAGCCATCTTTTACGACAGTTTTCGTTCAACGAAAACGAAAATACGTGTACCTTTGGACCCTTCCCGTAATTACCGACAGAATTAGGAACGCAGCACTTGTAAGGCATTTTGAAAACTTAGCTAAACAATCGCGAGACACAAATATAAGTTTAAAACATCAATAATTTTCAGTTTACATAGCATAGCTCAGAATGTGAGGTTAGTTGGCAAGGTTGCCACATAACCAATTTTGAATGGAATATTAGACACAAGTGACAGATTGAACGTAGTATCGAAAATCTATTCTTTACATACTGAGGCAGATCAGAAAAAATAATCACATCATCACTGAAGCTGCGCAGGCCCCGAGTACATCTTGCAAATTCGCCCACAGAAAGGAACAACTAATTAGTAGAGATTTCGATACTGCTATATCATACCTAGATATGACAACACCCCAGAGAAATGGTGGCGTGGTTCTTTTGGCAGCCAGTCATCGCGAAACTCAATAAGAACATGCATAGGCCTATTCTGCGTGACGTCACAGGCTTTTCAGAGCCCAGTTGTTTGGCCTTGTACTCTCGGTGGTAACGCAACAACGCCTTATATTAAAGTTGTGATTTTTCAAAATGCCACTACTTAGACGTACTAACCTATGTCGCAGAATTTGCAATTCTGCAAGTTAAAGATATACTATACGAAGAAGTCAAGCTGACGAGAAACAAGAAGACTGAAATTCACCAACGTAGAAGTGCCGCATTTGACTCCACTGGTACCACCAACAGAGCCACTACATTCATTGGTTTCCGGAAATGGGCCAGATTTTATAAATTTTTCAACTCATATCCAGCAATACAATAATTGCTTTGAAATGACCTCATTTGGCACAACAAAAGACATTCGACATAATTGTATGCCTACTTTCAAGGTAAGTTGATGGGGGAATGGCAATGCTACCAACGTATTTTGCTAGCCACATGGCGGTACATATGTTACACTTCGCTATACAGTTACCTATATTCCATATAGTTACCCTTTCATTATTCGTTATTCAACCCAGTTCATAGCTAAGACAGGACATCCGTCTGTCGGGTCAGCTAGTGATGAATAAAATAGAGGCATGTGGGTATTTTGTCGAAGAATAGTAAAAATACCTTGGACTAGTAAAACAAGAACCGAAGAGTTTTTCCGAAGAATTCGCCATCAACAACTCTTTTAAACATCATTAAGGGCCGATTTCACCAACATTAATATTATGGACCAATAGGAAAATACCTTATCGAAATGCAATTTGACGAAAGCTGTCAAAGGTCTCAGAATATCAGTGATTTCTATTAAAATGTTGAATGAAATCGTGAAAATTCGACTGTATTATAAACAAGACCACTTTTTGATTCCAACATGATGCTTTTGTACAGAGAAAACAGGACAACTGTCATGTATTTTGATTTATGTTATAGGTGTACATTTGACCATCCGTTATCCCCTCAGCGAATGGGAATGGGAGAAATAATAGGTAGATTTTCTAGCCGTTAAATTTGGCAGCAGGTTTGGTCGTTTGTTAATTCATGGCAATCTCGAAATTTGTTAAGTTCAATATACTGTGTGTATATGTGATCATTATAGCTACACATACCTGTAGAATTGAGCGGATTTGCAAGAAAATAGAATATAAAATGTATTCCAACCAATTCATCATCTCTCTTTACATCATAATAGTAATCATTTGTTATAAATTCATGGGTTAATGAAGTTTTTCAAAGCAATCAAAACAGTATGGTCGTCCCCATCCTAAAACACCGATATGTGTAAAACATGTAAATCAATACATCTCCGAGGTGCATAATGCAATTACTGTAGACATAAACCTAAAAGTATTAGTAATTGCTGAAAAATAAAAGCTAAAAAGAATTATAAATAGTGATAAACTATTGGTGGTTAAGGTTTTTGACTGCCACAGAATTATGTGTCACTTGTCGATATGGTTAGTTTTAAAATATCAGGAGATAATCAGCTGTTATTCAAATCAGTGTATATGTTTTGTGATTCAAATAACGTCTAATACAAATATAACCCAGAATATGTACTCAGTGAAAAAAGAAAAATATTGCAAATTTCTGCAGGTTTTAGGTTTGCTGCTAGCTCTACGACATATATTTGGGTATTTCTTAATCGCTGTGAATATAGTGTGGATGTTTGTTAAGTTCCTGAACAACGAACAATATTCAACTTTATGGATGTATGGATATTAAAATACCAGAATGGTTTTGTGGGAATATCAATCCAAGGTGCCATAATGGTTCTGATGAACGGCAAGTAAATGAATGAATGTTTGGAAACGAGCAATATCTATGAACTTTTTGGTAGAGCCAGTCATCAAGTAGGTGCTTAATGGCTATCTGCAAGAGGTTTATAGGAAAAAATACCCAGTAGATGATCTTGAATCAGTAAAATCGCATATCAATTGAAGAAAATAATATAAACATGAATAAAAAATCCACAATAGTAATTAAATCATGAATTTTATTCAAAAATCAAACATTTGTTTATATTTTGACTGAATTATATGTAATTTCTTAATATTCAATAAGCTGATGATGTTTTATTGACAAGATGTCATCTCATACTTTGACAGTATTTTGTTTTCAACATTTCATAGTTATTGGTTGCTAAAATTTGTTGATTGGAACTTGAAACTCATTCGCTGTATTTGACGGGCTGTTACCCTATAGGTGGAGAATAACGCACTGTTGTTGGTGAAATTGGCCCTAAGAGACATAAATTTGAGTATCTTGAACATATCATATGTTCAAGATATGTGCTGCTTCAGTTATTCTGAATGGCAAATCGAAGGAAAGAAAGGGATAGGTTTGTTGAAAAAATGGGGTAATCAGCAGACCTATTTCTACATGTAGCTCTAGGCATCATCATTATAAAAATATTGTTAAGATAGTATATACGTTCCATAATGAGATGACAGTTTAAGACGAATACTTGTATACATTCTTTTCAGCGCTAATTGAACTTGTCAGAAATTCCAACAGCAGCGTGTGGTGGAAGTCAGAATATATTTTTTTGTATGCCTATCATAAGATAGATGTGTCACAGTCTGAGCAACAATTGCTTTTCTCCTCACACGCCGCGTGGCATCGTTCCACCTTCCCCCACCCTTTCCTATAACGGCAGTCAATAACGCTGGTGGAACATCTTGTTCGTACACTTTATAAATCACAGGGAACACGAGAACCTGCTACGCTCCCGGCCATAACACTAAACTATATTAAATTGTCGCCTTTCCGCCGTAGAGCATATATACAGCCCTTTTTATGCTCCAAGAGTTTTGGGGAATCACATTTGGAACGAAAGACATGATCCAGACCTGCATAGCAGACGATACTTCATTGGCATATCCACAATCTGCATCAAGTAGGAAAAGTCCAGATTAATTGAGACAGCGCAAAGCATTATCCATTAGCATAATCGACCACTTTGAGAGTGTGCAGCAACTATCGGCTGGAACTGTAGAAATATAAGTCCGCATTTCATGGCCCAGTCACCAATGTCACCGCTAGATGACTGACGATTCTGGCTGTGTAGTAGATGTGGTGTACTCGCTATTGAACAGATAAAAATGTTGCTTTCTCCCAACCCACTATATATGGACAACTGTTTCGTGCTGTTTGGAAACTCATCAGTATCATATAGGCTCAGAAGTAATTTGCCAAGGACGAATGAGCTTTGCATGTTACCTTCTTACCACCTACTACACTGGGAGAGGAGTAAATGCAAAAAAATTCGTTTTTTGGATGACATATACTAAGTGACATGTAAATCCGAACACCCAGTTTAAATGGTTTTATTTTAATAAAATTTTGTATAAGTACTTAATGAAGCATAATAAGTAAATCATGAAAATTTCAAAATGATTGCACTGCCCTTTGACCTTTAATAATGTGTGGATGCACCCTGATGGGCTACGCATTCTCCAACGCGCCTAGGCATGCTTCTGATCAGGTGGTCAATGTCCTTCTGTGGTATCTCATTCCAGGCAACCACCAACTCCTCTCGAAGTGCTTCTAGAGTCTGAGGAGGACGTTTCAAATTGAGCAATCTCCTACCCATCATATCCCACACGTGCTCAATTGGGGATAAGTCGGGAGATCTTGGTGGCCATGGTAACAATGTGACATCATTATGTTGAAAGAAGTCTATTGTGACTCTTGCAACATGTGGTCGGGCATTATCTTGTTGGAAAGTTGGATCTGCCAGGGTGTCAAGATAGGGTAAAAGATGGGGTTCTAGAACTTCGTGGATATAACGCTGCGCGTTCATGTTACCTCTGATGAAGATTAAAGGTGACCTGCAACCATAAGCTATAGCACCCCCAAACCATAACTCCAACAGTGTGATGAACATGTCTTTCAACAAAAAACTGTGGATTCCTCCTTTCACCACTTCGCCTTCTAACCCTGGCACGACCATCGTGCATGCCTAAACAAAATCGAGACTCGTCACTAAAGACAATACTGTTCCATTCCTGATCCCAGAGTGACCGTTGTCTGCACCACTCAAGGCGATTACGTCGGTGTTCTCGAGTTAAAGGGAGGACCCAGTGTGGCCGGTATGAAAACAAGCCAAAACTTCTCATTCGTCGGTAAACACTTCGCATGCCAATAGGTCTTCCGTGTTCTGCAAACCATTCATTTGCAATGGACCTGGTAGTGGAGAAACGGTCCCTTAAGGCCAATAATCTTAGGCGGCGATCTTCACGGTCTTTTGTTCTACGGCGGCATCCAGTGCCCCTTGCTCTTTGCGTACGGCCTTCTCGAAGCCATGCCTGACAATACCTAACCACAGTGTCTACACTTCTTTGCACTCTAACTGCAATTGCCCGAAAAGAAAGTCCAGCTTCCCGAAGTCCCACTATACGGCCCTATCAAACTCACTAAGTTGACGAAATCGTACAGGTCTCCGTACTCTAGGCATCGTAACCGATCGTAAAGGATGTCAAGAACCAAAATCCGCCAACGTTGATTTTTTACTGCGGCTGAAATATTCATTTTTAGAGCGTTAGTGAATTAAAAAAAGCAGTATAAAAACCGGACTGTGCAACTGATAAGGCATTTTTTCACTTGTTATTTACAGTAAGATAAATACATTCACCAACTTTTATTAAAATAAAACCATTTAAACTGGGTGTTCGGATTTATATGTCACTTAGTATACATCACGAAAGATCATGTCACTTATTTCCGTCAGTCTGTCGGTCCGCTAATCCTTGACCCATCGAGAACTGGAGTAGTACCGTTTGGATTTTGATGCAATTTTTACACAAAGAAACTACCATGCCAAGCACGAAAAAGCTTTGAGGTCTTTGGAAGTTGGTTCAGTTGAGGTGCAGCTGGGGTTAAAAATCCGAAAAAAAATATATAAATCTCTCAAACTCCTCCTTTTTACGACATTCTAGAGGGTCCTAATCATTTTCAGAAAAATCTTTATGGGGTTTGAAATTTGTGGGTTGCGGGTTGTAGGGGGTGGGGTAGGGTATATAATAATAGAGAAATGCGTTCGATACTTTTTTCCTTTTGGTATCTGGGCTAACCTCCCGACGTACCAGT